TTTGCAGTTTGAAGAACACCTGCTTCCCTCTGATGATTTCCTTTAGCTAACCAATGAGTGTTTGCATGATATGACTCATCCAATGACACTAGTTTTCACTAGATGTGGATGGCGCCAAGGATCTGCATTGGATGACGCAAATGACATGAAATTAATATTTATAAACATTAAACCGAAGCTAAGAGTAATGAGAAACGTTTGTTTTAAAAATGTAAGGAATAGAAAGCACAGACACTTGTGTGAAAATGTAATAGATAGAAGTTAGAAGTAGGAAGAAAAATAAGTAATGGAGTAAAGTATAGATACCTAAAAAAGGTGTACTTAAGTAAAGTAACGAAGTATTTGTACTGCCTAAAAGTTAGACCTTTTTCAGTTTTTAAAAGGACTTTTTTTAAGAGTTACTAACAGAAAGGCTCCCAGCATCACAGATCCTCTACTGTACTTCAGTTTTTTTCATGTTCAACTTTTTTCATTATATAATCATACAAGGAAACATTAGTGATATGTGCACTCATTGGTTTTTATTTGATTCACTATCAGGTAGCAAAAAGGATTATGAAGAGTGGCTGGCTCACTCTACAAACAAAGGGGACTCTGAGAGAAACGGCTGTGTTCTTGGCATGAAGGAGACCTATAGGAGACTGAAGAAGCAGTCTGTGTGCAGAAATGGGCGAAGCTTTGTGGTTAAAAAAAAGCAAAGCCCCTGTCCGTGCACCAGAGAGGACTACTTATGGTATGTCAAACTGTTTAAAAACCTCAAAAGGGGGTTAAATGTATTAAATGGTCCTATAAACGACTTTCATGTTGCATGCATTTTTCTAAACCTCTTATTGTCTTTGAAAACAGTGACTATGGTTACTTTCGTCACGTGAACACCTCAGAGTGTGTGAGACAGCCAAATACTCCAAATAAAAGCTTTGAGATGTGTCTGGATGGAGAGGAGGATGAGCTTCTGACAGCAGGGTAATTATCCAATCTATTTAAGTGGCGGATCTCTTTCATGCACCTCTTAGGTTATATCTGTGCTCTGCATAGTCATATGCCTTCAATTTTGCACATGCTTTTAGGTTAGTACCACAAATTGCAATAACTTTATTGGGATTTTGAAGGGATAGACCAACAATAAGCCCCGGAAGCCCTGGAAAGGAAACCGTTGTCTGGTCAGATAAGGACAACGATGCTGCTCTACAAAAAAAATATTTTTTTTATTTTGTTTTATATTTTTAGGTCCTATATTAATTTTGTCTTGGCAGTTATGGCAAAAGACACTATAAGTTTGAACTTCCTGGTTTATACCATAGAAGATTCATGCGTATCCCAGTTAAAGTCCTGACCCAAATCTAATTTAATAAAATTGTAGACTTGGAAAAAAAAGTTGTTCTCAGTCCAACTTGAATTGTTTTTGGCAAAAAAAAAAAAAGAAAAAAAAAAGTAATTTCACATAAAATTGATTTGTTCAGAACCACCTAAAGGTGTTTTGGAATAAAATGTATATATATTCAATCAGAGGGGCATGACACATTTTTTTTTTTTACAAAACATTCTGAAAATCACGTATTATTTTATGTTATATCATTGTACATATGATTCTCTTTTTTGTATATCCTGCCCATGTTATTTTAAAATGTATAAACTCCTGTGTAAAGCTCATCAAAGATATTATTTTCTCAAAATATTCGCAGGTACCGAAAGGTCCCGAGTGACAAGTGTGAAGGTGGGTTCACTCCTCAGCATATGGTGCAGACAATCATCCGGCCATGCGGGGTTAAACCCACTCTTGACCCTTCAGCCGTGTCCACATCTCCAGTTGAACATTTTGACACACCAGTGAGAACAGTTTCCCTCTTACTAGTTTTCTGACTGTTTTTTTTCTGCAGTTCTGTTATATTAAGTATTCTATAATATATCTTCCAGAAAGAAAGGCTTGTCCTGATCCTGGTGTCTACAGGAGCAGCTGTTGTAGTCCTGGTGACTATCATCTCTGCATTCCTTGCAGTCAGAAGAGGGGTTTATAGAACCAGGTAAGTTGAACATGCACACCTGCACCATGCGACCTTTACACATTGAGTAAAAGGTGATTGATGCTTCTGCAGGATGCCGGCGTATCGTTTTTCTAACCTACGCATTCAGGAAGATAATGGCTTTACGGCAGACCTGGAGAGTGCCACCAGCAGCAACGGTACGGCCTGCCAGCACGACTCAGACGTGGTAAGAGTAGTTTAAGGACATTTTTTCTCTTTATTACATTAACCAGTGTGTCAAAGGTAATGTTTTAACTTGCGTACTAATGTCTTTATGCTCTTGCTTTTTGCAGGATCTCATTGAATGACACAAACCTAAGATCTGGAACACAAAAGGCTCATGATTGTAATGAGTCACATGGGAATAAAGCAAACCCGGCTATAACTTGAACGTGAAAATAATAGCTATTAATTTATTTTATTTTGTGTCTAATATATGTTTTTTTTGTACAGTGTTTTTTTTTTCTTATTATAATGACTTTAGTCCAAATATTTCAGTTTTAATTCTAAAAACCCTGAAAGAAGTTGTGTCTTTACTTTATGTATTTGTATTGACAGTATGTTTTAAGGCTTTGAAATATTTACTATGCATTGGGTATTGGACACTAAAGAAGGAGAACTTCTCAAACTAAAGTTTCTACGCTATGTCCCAAGAGAAACAGTAGGGGGCGTTGCGATATGCCCCCTCTTTCTTACAAGAAGTGAAGGAAAATACAGGAAGTTGGTGGAGACAAAGATTTTTTTTGACAGATGTATGACTCCTACAGAAATTGTGAATTGAAACCTTATTTGGATTACCTTTTTTGTAAATGTATATATATATATATATATATATATATATATATATATATATATATATATTTTTTTTGTTTTTTAGATTTTTAAGTAAATGTTTTCAGTAAATTATAGACAGTTTTATTGAACCTCACATTTGCGAAGCTGCTGCTTAACTTACACCAATCTAAAATAAACTGGAACACTTCTAATAAAAAAAAAAAAAAAAAGACTGAACATGTTTTACATCTTTGTGTACCCAGCTCAACGTTAGTGGAAATCAGGTTAAGTAGGATTTTTTAAAAGTTTTTTTTTTTTTAAAGCTATGAATATTGTTAGGTTTTCTATACTTGCTGAATGGGTGTCTGTACTGAATATTTAAAACTCTTCTTAGGATTTGCATGTTGGTCAATGTTTTGCATCAGCTTTACCGTAAAGAGAAAAACAAAACAAAAACAAATGTCTTTAAGTGACTGAAAATACTGTAAAAACAAGCTGTACCAACGATAATAAATACTTTCACAAACTTTATCAAGTGTTTTTTCTTTTCCTTGTACAGAAAATTTGTATTATTTGAAATTATTTTTTTTATTTTCAATTGATTTAAAAATTGCATCAAATAAAACCTTTGTGTGGGTTTAATAAAAAGGATGAATAAGCATGTATACAACTGTGTCTTTTCATTATACAATAATGCAAGCTTTAAGTAAAATTAGATTTTTTTTGGAAATTCAAAAATATATAAATTACATATATAAAATAATATTAAATATTCTTCTCAGTAGTGCAGAAAACTGTATGACTGCTGCAGCAGTTCAAACATTTAATTGAAAAATTACCAACTTTATCTCATCCATATGTCGAATGTTAAAACTACTTACTGAGTTTAGAGCTTTGCATGAGACTCCAGGTTGCAGTATGATAATTCAAACAAATGAATATGCAAAAAATAAACTATCAAATTAATGTTTGCTGAAACACACTTTGTTTCAAATGCATTTTATTTGAATATGGTTTAGGAGACCTTAAATGAATTTGCATTCATGTTTACCAACATGCATTGCAAACTATCGATTTTGCGACAGAGTGACGCATCTTTCCCCTCTATCTGCCCCGCGGCTCTCCTCGTTTATCTTAACAGGAAGCTTCAGTCTGTCGGACAGCCAGCAGCCTTGTTACCACAGAGATTTTTTAACCGTTTTTCCTTAAGTTGGTAAGAAACTACAACCACGTTTACTAAATTAACCGCCAAGTGACCTAGAGCAACATTTATTTTAATAGCAGCTAGCAGAGTCAGACACAGACAAGGTCAGTTTAACGGTTAAAGATGGTTTATGCTAGCTAGTTAAAAAAAAACAGTTTTCTGTTGGTATTTTAATGTCATATCGTAGTGTTTTAGTTCCTCCTTTATTAGCAAAATGGTTCAGGTCAAATATATTTCGTTTTTGACACCAGCAGATTAATTCAGGGCGTATTAGCTTAAGCTAACTTCAACATTTAGCTTCTATTTTTTTACGCTACGTGCTTAAAACAACTTAATGATTTTATTTTACAATTTTAAGGTTGTTTCCTAGAAGGAAACCGTGGCGGGAGGCTCGCTAAGATGTTCAGAGCTAGCGGTGAGTACTTTTCCTCGACGTTAAAGGTAAATATATTAGCTTTAGTGGTTATCTCTAATAATGTGACGTATCTTTATCTTCTACAGGCATATTGAAGTTAGCGGCGCTCATCTTAGCGTTCCTCCTTGCTGTCTTTCTGGCTTTCCAATTGCTGGAGATTAACGTGGAATTTAAACTTGGGAGTATGATGTGTGAGTAACAAATGGTTTAACCTGTTTTCATTCATCCTGCAGGAAGTTACTGAACAGTCACAGTAAAATATGAAGGGCTTGATGACTGTCATTTGTTTTCCTGTACGGATTTGTGGTTGCTCTAACTTTTATACAATATTTTTAGATATTATTGGAAGAAAATTACATTTTTCAATGAGTTGACTGAGATAGTGTCTTCTAGACATTCCCCAAAGACACCACCACAGCAGTGAAACATGGTGGTGGCACTATCATGCTGTGGGGATGCTGTTCTAAGATAGGAAAGTAGAAGCAGGAAACAGTTGATACATATAGGTAATGGAGTGTTGTGCAGAATTAAAGTACAGTGGAATCCGCTTATAGTGGTCACGTTGGTCAAGAGCCAATTTGAAAACTACAAGCGGTTGATTACTATATCCGAATGTACCATTATTTCACTTATTTTTTATGCAGAATATCATCTAAATGCCATTTTTGGGGTTTTTCAATGAGAAAAGTGAAATGAAACGGATAACTTCCGCATTTGCTAAATTTTATTACAGTACCATGTAAGTTTAATTACAGTATACTGCGCTGTGCACAGACATAACACTGGTAGCCTGGCGTCGTCGGTGCATTTTCTTTAACAACAGGGTTTCTGCGGCTCATGAAAAATCATTAAAAGTCATTAAATAATTATTTTTTAAATTAAGGCCTTAATTGGCATTAAAATTCATTAAATGTGATTATCATGGCATTTAAAATGCTTTATTTTCGTCAGATATATCAGATATAATTGGTTGATCGTAAAGCTGTATTTTTGTAAAAGAAGCTCAAGACGGAGAAAAAGCTAGAGAATGGAGAAAATGCAAATTTTAACAAACGGGGCTGGAAAACAAGGAATTCGGGGCATGATAGAATAGACATTATTTATTACTGCAGGTAATGCATGCACGGTAAAGATGACGAAGGATTTTGGATTAAAGAGCATTAAAAAAGCATTAAATTAGAGTAACTAATTCCTGTATAAACCCTGAACAAGTCAGAAGTTTGAAACAAAGGGCTGCATTTGGCAACAACATAGAAGATAACTGCATAGGCTACAGAAAATTAAAGCTAGCCTACATCTGTTTTGTGTTGTGGATCTGCTGTTCCGTATAAAGAAATTACTTAACATATTTATCCATGGTTCCCTGGATCGGAGTATTGTCCAATACAGAGTTCACTTCTTTTACAAAATTAGGTAAAAGGTCAAAGTTTTTGAAACCAACATGCAGGACGACCAGTCTTTAAAATGCAAACTTCATTCCTCATGTCAGCTCTGGAAGGGACAGTCTCCACATACTAATCCTCCTCCTCCTTGCTGCACGCAGCACTGCTAACCGCACTGAAACGCTCTTGTACCTCCGCGATGATGTCCTCATCAGTCACAGGCTCTGATACCAGGTGATGTAATCACTTTCGATCCACTTATTAAATATTTTTGCACGTTTATATTCATAAAATGGCCAAAAACGAACACTATAAGTGGATTTCTTGATTACTGTAAACAAATTATTTAAACAGCATTTGTATAGAAAGGATTTTGTCCCAAGCCTTTTGAACACTATATGCAGTTGATTATTATATATCCGTGTCCACTATAAGCGGATTCCACTGTACATACAATAATATCCAAATGGTGGTGTAATGGATTAACTGGATTCTATTAAGTTAAATCCTTCTTTGTCTGTTTTGGATTTGGTTACCACATTAAATTGATCAAGACAAAATGTATGTACGTTTAGAGCTAACTTCCTCAATATTGGGGGAAAATAGATATTTATCTTAAACAGCCACGGTTAAGAAATAAACTAACAGGTGAGATGATGGTAGAGGGATAATAGCAGGTAATATGTTTAGAACCTAATGTTCTGGGAATCTAGAAAAAAAAAGCTTTGGGGTTTTTTCCTTGCTGTGGAACAAACAATAGGTATATCTGATGTTAGATAAAACAAATCTGACCTTAACCTATGTAAGGAGAAAGATTAGCTAAATATAAGGCTGGATAATCTGTAAATGGTTACATTTTTCTTCAATTTGTCCTCTTTAATGTGACCTTTTTCTGCTTTTCAGCCAGATCTTTGCCAGTAAATGAAGCACGTAGGTATCTTTAATTATTAATCAATAATTTTATTCACTTTTTTGCTAAATAACTGTCATATGATGCAATTTGACCCTTTCTTCTATCCTTTCATGCTAGTCAGCATAAGAATGGTAATGATATGTTTGTCAAACTGCCCATGTGAATATTTCCTCTTCGGTTACTGTTGATAATGACCAAAAGAATGCATAGTTTACCCTTGTATGTTTAGCACTTTGGTATATTTGTGTTAGGGTTATTCTTTAACCTTGTATCTGAACTCCTGGTAAATGTGTGCAGAAAGCCTCAAAACCACCATGTTTTATAATAACTGTAACATTATGCATACAGAAACTCTTCAATAACCCCCTACTTTGAATTTTGGTAACTTAATCAGCATGACAGGTCTGATTATGCCCTCATAACTTCTGCAAATAGGACATGATGTAATTTTCCATGTTGAGGACATTCCTTTTTTCCTAACCTTGAATAATTAAATGTAATAATTCCATTTAATTTTTAGTGTGGGATTATCTTGGTGTAATTTAACCGTAATATTTTAAGGCTCATTGCACATCTTTACCAGTGGTTCCAGTGAGTGTGGTATTTATAGGTTCTTGTACTCTTTATCTGGGCTTGGTTTTATTTGCTTTGTAAATGGAACTTCGTTTTCACAGAAACAAAGCCAGCTGTACATAAATGTGGACTTTCCAAGGCATGTCCACCTGGACACTTTGCCTTCAAGCTGGCAAGCGGTGCCGCAAGCGTGGTCGGGCCTAGGATGTGCCTAGAAGACAAATTGTAAGTGGAAATTAATCTCCAGAACTTTGAAAAGCATAGGAAAACAAAAAGTCCCCTTCTGTTATTGCTTTTAGGTCTAAATACAATCCTTCTGGTGGCATCACAGCAGGATCTACTGTTGTAAATTTACACCCTCACTCATATTACTGACCCTGATTTCTTAGGCATATTCATCTTGACTTGAACTTTGGAATAATACAGCTCTATATGATACCCTGATGAAAGCCTTAGACTAACATTTTATAGTGTCAGGGTGTGTTACCCTGACACTTCTTGGGTCATTTCCTTGTTCCTACTGACAAAAGGCCATATTGGAGATAAAACTAAAAGCTCTAAACACACGTTCTGCCACTATCTATTGTAGATTAATGAGCGGTGTGAAGAACAATGTTGGGAGAGGGATCAACATTGCCTTGATCAATGGTAAAACCCAGCTTTCCAAATTAAAATAATACTATAATAACTAATTCTATTCTAATTCTAATTCTTTTCTTTTATCTGTAGGAAAGACGGGAGAACTTCTGAAGACTGCTTTTTACGACATGTGGGCTGGAGGTCAGTACGAGTTTATTTCTGCAGAGGGCTTGTAACAATATTTGCACAAATTTAACAGCTTGTAACTTTCTTTAGATGTGGCTCCACTTATTAAGTTTCTAAAAGAAATTGAAGATGGGACAGTTGTAATGATGGCTTCATTTGATGACCCTGCATCTAAGTAAGTTTTGTTATTTCCTTTTATTATTTTTTTATTCTGTTGTGTTGATTTTTATTCTGTCCACCTGAATTAGGCAAACTATGTACCTAAGATACTAATGCAGGTTGTGCTGATGAAGTTCTCTGTTTTTTCGGGGGTCTGTAGACTCAATGATGAAGCCAGGAAGCTGATTGCAGATCTGGGAAGCACAGCTATCGCAAATCTGGGGTTCCGGGATAACTGGATCTTTGTAGGAGGGAAAGGCATCAAGACCAAAAGCCCATTCGAACAGGTAACTTAACTCCTATAATCCCACCACCTTCATGCAGATCTTCTTCTTCAACTAAGTAATAAAACAAACAAAAAAAAAACCTCACAAATGATTAATGCTAATGAAATAGCTGACCATTTGTAGATGTTGGTATTCAGAAATGTCTGCTTAAAAATAACAGGTTTTCTAAGAGGCTCATGTTTTCCTAATTTTTTTTTAGCTACAAACCAGAATCATTTTCTCAGTTCATATTTTGCGTTCCAAGTCACAAAGTAATGTAATATTTAAGGGGGGAAAAAAGTATTTATTTCCACCAAATAAAAGTCTAAAGTATGGCAGGTATCTGATGAGACTATCCTTAGCTAATACTTTTGTAGAACCAATTTTCCTCACAGTTTTTGCCAAAAAAGGAAATAAAAGCCTTATAATAGTGATGGAAATCATTATAACATGATTAATGTTGCATCTCTAATGCTCTAGTATAAGCTACGTTCACACTTAATGCTCAATTTTGATTTGTTTTTGTGAAATTCGATTCTTTGGGTGGTTGTAAACATTTCCAAATATATACGACTTGTATGTGATGTCCTGTGTGAACTGCTTTCATACATTTTCACTGTTCTGCATGCGCAGTACAGGACGCAGTGATGTCTCAAGTAGCGAGTGTGCTCTGTGTTCATGGAAGTTAAAATAGATGTTTGAGCTAGAGCAAATCTAGTGATCTGTGTAGTGATTTCTTCCGTCCTGCAACAGGTCGTATTTGAAAAGATCAGATGCGTATCAGATTAAGGACCACATAACCAAGTGGCCTTGGTCGCATTTGAAAAAATTGGATCCGTGTAGTTCAGAATTTCCTGAAAAGATCAGATAGGGGTCACAGATTTGGGTCACTTCAGTCGGCAGTGGAAACAGCGTTAGTCTTAATTTGGATTCTAAAGGTCACAAATATTGCAACGTATGATCTTATGACATTTACAACAAGTTAATTAGCAGATATTGTATTAGAATGAATGTGTTTTAATTTAATTATTTCAGACTGTTTCTCCAGTGAAATTTGCTTTGGTTGTTTTAGTAAAGCTTTTGAATGCAAGAGAAAATAATCAACTTAAAAAATATTAGATAAATATACTTTTAAATCATTTATTTTTTGTCATGACTGGGCTCATAGTCCTCATTTAATCACAAACATCTAGATTTATACTGAGATTAAATCACACATTTGTGGGCTCTGTTAACTAATTATTGCTTCTGAGGAAACTAGATTTTACTCATAGGAATCAGACTAATAGTTTGATATTTTGTTGTAAAACCTTTTAAAAACCATGTATTTCTATTGCCTCCATATTTTTGCACGACTTTCTAAAATTTTATCTCATGTTATCCTGAAGCACTCTTTAACCCAGTGATCATGTTTTTCTTTTCCAAATGCCTGCAGTCTTAGCTTCCATTTGGCCTTGATCCAGTAGAGTTTAATGCAACAGCTCAGTGAGCTCACTGCCCCCTTAACATATCTAAATGGTTGCTTGTATGCCTGTTTAAGACCCATTGTTGTTCAGTAAGATATCTTGTTTCCATCTTCAGATTATTTAAGTTGGAAGGAACAGCTTGTTCTCTCTTCTGTTGCTACCTGCCTCTTTTTGTAAGTGGTTTAACAAACAATGAATTTTTTTTGTTTCCTTCTCTTTAGCACATAAAGAACAGCGCAGATACTAACAAATATGAAGGCTGGCCCGAAGTGCTGGAGATGGAAGGCTGCGTGCCGCAGAGACAGGACTAAACCAAGCTTCTGTGTCAGCAATAGTTACCCAGCAGTGTATAATCTCAACTGTTCATTTTGTATCTCCTTCCATCTGTGTTAAGACTGGTTCAAGTTTTTTTTTCCGTTAAAAAGGGTTATATGCTTTGGCATTATAGATTTGGGCACTGTTATTGCGTTTGTTTATAAAAGAAAAATAAAAGAGCTGTAAAATAAAGCTCTTAACATCTTGAATCTGTTTGGATATGTCCAGTTTGACAGAATTTGAAGTGCACTGGATCTTAGAGGTTGTGTTAGTTTTTTGATTTGTTTTCATTATCTTCCAATTTATTTGAACCCAAAGACCTGGCTTTCACAGACTGTTGAGTGTTTGCACTGATGGAAAGTAATGTATTCTTGTCCTCATGTTTTTCCTGGAGGATAAACTTTCTATTACTTTTCTATACTCTGCCTTAATATTTTCATGTTTTGTAGCAAATAAGTGTCCAGATTCAGTTTCCTTTCCGAATTACTTTTTAGAAAATTATAATTAACTTTTGAAATTGTAACCAAATATACCAAAATTCACTGTGAAATGTGTAAATATTTCTTTAGACAAGAGTTAGCTTATAAAACCTTTAATTTAAAGAACATGAAAGCAGTAATATAAGTTGATGGAACAAATAAATGCTATTGAAATTGTATCCTTGGTTTGCTCCTCTTTTAAAGTTGCCTCTATTGAGGGCTAAAAATTCTGCTGTTTTACACCCAAGTTAAGAGAAGTTAAACAATGCCCACACATTGCTTTGATGATAGTGAACAAGCCATACATGGTAGTAGGGCTGAAACAATCGGATTAATTGTGATCAATCAATTATTGAAATAATCGTCAGTAATTGATTAATCGTTAACTGGAGTTTAGAAACTCTAAAACATGCCTTTAGCTGACAGAGTAACCCACTTATAGCAGTAATTATACCAAAATTGTAAAACATAAATGTGTAAACATTTTGCATTTGAGATAAAAAGCTCTTTTTTAATCTGTTATGCTCTATCCACAACTGAAGTGGAAAAGTTTTAGTTTCACCTGGTTTAATTTAATAAAAAAAAAAAAAAGCTTCTTTGAGAAACCTTTGGCTGTCAGATTATTATTCAGTTAATTGAAAAATAATCAACAGATTAATCGACATGGAAAATAATTGTTAGTTGCAGCCGTACATAGTAGAATCAAAAAATGTTTTTATTGCAACTATGCCATTGAAAAGTTGTAGCTCCATTAAATCAAGCACTACGGAGAGGAAAGAGTTCAAACTTGGAAATGTGAGGTTATTACTGTATTTTATAGGAGGAACAGCTTGATGAACAGTTCATTAACTTTGTTATTTTGGGTTTAGACGTACGCCTTTGTAAAGGATGTAACACAAAATTGTTTTGTTATAGTACGTCACTGGAGAAAAAAAAAAGTACTTGCAACTTCCCATTGCTAAGGCCTGCATGATAATCTGAGAGGATTTTCCATCAGTAGAACAATGGAGCTTCAGATTGGACAGGAAAGTCAAGCCTTTGCTGCTGGCTATGTGGCGGTGCTGCAGTGGGTGGTGATGGTCTGGTCTTTGAATAGAATAGAACAGGATGCTGCAATTCACATTCCTGTCTTAACAAAAGAGAAAAAGGCCTGTCTTTTAAACCATCCTGCATGTTTCCCTGATCTAAACCTCTTATCTAGGAATTTAAGAAAAATGGAGGTTTAGATAAGTGCATTACCCGGTATGTAAAAGGAAGTTCTTTCTTCCAAACTAAAACAGGACCTGATAATTACAGAAACACAAAATGTGTCCTGAAAGATCAGCTGAAAGTTACATTTTCATTCATGGGCTTTTTTTACTCAAAATGAAAATAATCTCTCCTAACATCTTTTAATTCACACAAAACATTTACTCAAAAATATATGTTTTTATCCTCTTTTTAGCAGCAGATTCTCTGAATGTTATTTTCCCCAAATAAATACTGTTTTTTTGTAAAGTTCATTTAAGGCTAGTAAAGATCAGCTCTTAATAACTAGCTAAAACATTTAATAATATAATCTTAGCACAATTTTGGCTTGTTGTTGCTTTTCTACCAGTTAATTTAAAAAGGGAGTTAGGTATTTTATGTATATCAAAACATTTCATGTCACTTGTAAAAACACGGTTAGATTTAGATTAAAATTTCAAATGGAACATTGAACAACTGTGATAAAAATTAAATAGATAATACATAGATATAATGGAGATACATTTTAAATCCACTTTAGTTACATTTTCACTTGTGAAAAACTTGTATAAATCAATTCATCATGTAAACTGATTTCAAAAAGAATATGTCAAGATGTAATTTATACTTCTTCATTTCTGCATGCTATATAAATGACCAGCAGAGGGCGCCGTTGTCATATAGTTTATTCAGACCCTTGACTCTCTGTTGTCTTCTGCTCTAACTGTTTAGTTGTGCTGCATATAAACAACAGATGCTACTCTTAAACCTTTAAAGCCCGATCCAAGAGTAAAACAAAACAGAAAAATTACTTTTTTTTGGTTTTGAAGTCCTTATTTGGCCTTTTAACAAAATATGTAAAAAGAAAAAACAGAAATACATTTTTGATATTAATAATTTATTACTATGCGATAAGTCAAGATTATTTTTTGTGTAGTCTTCTGCCCTCTGTTATCAGGTATATCTGATTGTGTGCAATAGGATTTTGAGCAAAGTTTTTACCATTAAATTATGCAAAAGGTGTCAGACAAAACATTTCAGAAACTGTATGTATCAAATATGATACATTTGGCATTATAGGGTTAAGAGGCTTTTTTTCTTCTTAGGCTATAATATGAAATTAGTATTTTATACTTCATATATATATATATATATATATATATATATATATATATATATATATATATATATATAATTGGCCCTTGGAAAAGAGACTTTAATCTCTTTCCTGATGAAAAAAGAGAAGGAAATCTCGTATAGTGCTCAGATATCCTTACTTCCCGTCACTTTGAACAACATCCATTTATCAGCGCAATAGAAGTGGCATTCTACACAACCACAAAGAGTGTAAAAACCTTGCTGCTCTTCCTCTGATGTCATCCGAGCTGCTCCACGCAAACCAGTCCCTGCTGGTTTCCATCCCTTTTGTGTTTTTACAGGCCTGTAAAAAACTGCAGAAACTGTTGTTTGTGCTTCCCACTGTTACTGGTTCTGTGGACGTAAAATATTTTTTGTTTCTATTGTAAAGTGTGTGCTTGTGTGCATGAGATGTGCGCTTTGTCGTTCTGACGTGGGAAGAATGCCTTTAGAGCATCGGAAAACAAAGTGTAGGAGTGAATAACCTCTGGCCTGTCTTATATAAAACAAGCTATATGGTGCACGATATGTGAATACAGCCACTCTCCTTCTTGAGGAACAAGTAATGGGCCTAAAGGCACAGAATTATGAATTCAGATGGCATATGGGAGCTGCATTTTCTTTGTTTACATTTATCTTCATGCTCTCTGTATAAATCTCCCCAGTGAACAAAGGTGGCTGCATGGCAAAGAGCCCCTGAAGAGCTGAAACTCCTCTTTGTGACCCATTGACTGTTGCCCTTTGACCACCTAGAACAGTTTTGCCCCTGTTTGTCTGCACGCAAACATTTAAGAAGTCCTTTCTTTATAACCTTAAAAGCGTTTTATAAAATGCTAAGATCCTGCAGAAAAAATAGGTAGGTTGAAACTACTATCTTTTTGTTTAAGACTCCTTCAACTTGCCTGTTCAGGCAAGTTGAAGGAGATCAGATAAATTAAAAGACCAAGACATTTTCAGAATATTTAGAACTGCAAAAGCATTAATTAAATTAAACCTTTCAGATTCAAAACCTTATATACTGAAGTCTTCACACTATGTTTCTTAGAAAATTAGCTTTATTTTTTAATACCCAAGTAAACAAGTTTGTAACTATTTACGCCTTCTAAACACAGTAATTAAGTGTTGTACAGAAATATGCAGAGTTGGCCTGCTATACTGTAGACTATAGGTGCTACCTTTGTTTTACTTGATCTTATCTCAGTCTTTAGCTCCTTTTAGCTCTTGGGCTGTTTGTGTATTTTTTTTTTCTTCCCCACTTACAAAAACATGAGGGTTTCAACTGGTTTCTAGTCAGGCAACATACTTAACTAGGGCATGTTAGTTTTTTTTGTTTTTCTCTAGATGTGTCTGCAACCTGTTACCTTTTTAAAATAAATATGCAGCACTGAATCACTAAATACAAATTATATATTTTCTTTTCTTTATTTATTCATATTGTGATCCATCTGACTGAGATTTTCAGTCTTTAAATTCTTTAAAACTCTTTTCTTTATAAATATTAGCAGATTTTTTATGAAACATTTAGCAGGTCTAACATGTAGTTGAGGGAGCTCAGATCAAGGCCTTCGTTATCGGAACCCATACATTTTACAGTCCCTATCAGATTTTCTCTTTTCTGATACTAAACTCCAAACAAAGCCTGGTCTTTTTGTTTACTTTCAGCTCTGTGTGCGTTAGGCCCACCCCTCTAAGGTTTTTCCACAACTGTTTCTTTCAGGATCTCCAACCCTCCCCCTCCACAAGCCTCACCACCCTAGCCGTCTATCCCACCTCCAGTCCTGTGATTGCCCTCCAAACATACATGAATGCACACAGTGATCCAGGCAGCTGTGTTTACACTATGCGGGTCTGTGGGAACTTCCTGCTGACCTCAGCACAGACACCACGCAGTGCACGGATGCTTACATGGATCGATAACTGATTATATGGATCTTTGCATGGTGGAGGTTGAGCTCCTAAACTTTTGTTAAAACTGTGGATGTGCAGTTTTTTATCTGCTAGTTTTTAAACCAAAGGTCAAGCAGAAGGTCTGTGTAAAGAATCGATATATTTTTTAGTGTTACACCGTAAATAATGTCCCACTCATGTACATGGAGGCTCTCTTTCATCATGGGTGGAAAACAAAGGTTTCATTCATTGGGATCATCTTGATTTTCCAAGACACAGCTGCAACTCCTGCTGAGGAAGCCGAGGCGGATCGGATCACTGTTGGTGTTTAGCATATTATTGTTTTTGTGTAAAGCAACCACTTTGTCTGGGGAAGCTGGTATAAATATATGCAGTTGAATTCAAGATTTCAAGCATTTACATGTTGAGTAGAGGCATTCGATGCACAGGAGAAGAAATTCAAATGAGTGAAACAATCCTTTTTTTTGCTGTTGTAAGAGTTTGGAGCCTTTTAGAGTAAGAAGCAGAGTGTACTCTTTTGGGGACATGGAGACAAACGTAAACAGCCTAAATTAGAATTGCCTAATAACCTATGATACTTGTTTTAGAGTAAAGGAGGAAACCGAAACGCCCTGAGAAAACCGCCACATGCACAGGAAGAGCATGCAAACTTTGCCCAGGGAGGCCCCACTCAACCTGGGGCCCTTAAACTATGAGGAACAGTGAAAAATGTAGAACAGAACAGCATACGCTGCATATCAGCATACATTGTTCTAATATGCACGCATGCAGATGCGTCACAGAGAATTATTCCCACATTGAATTTTAGCAGCACTGTACTGACCAGCAAAAACATGCTTATTCTACCTTTAAAAAAAGAAAATCAACTCTGATTATACTGTTATTTGTTGGATGTAGAAACGGCC